GCCTGGTCCACCACGGCACCCGCTTAGCCTGGTCCACCACAGCACTGCTTAGCCTGGTTCACCACGGCACCCGCTTAGCCTGGTCCACCACAGCACTGCTTAGCACAGTCCACCACAGCACTGCTTAGCCTGGTCCACCACAGCACTGCTTAGCCTGGTCCACCACAGCACTGTTTAGCCTGGTCCACCACAGCACTGCTTAGCCTGGTCCACCACAGCACTGCTTAGCCTGGTCCACCACAGCACCCGCTTAGCCTGGTCCACCACAGCACCCGCTTAGCACAGTCCACCACGGCACCCGCTTAGCACAGTCCACCACGGCACCCGCTTAGCCTGGTCCACCACAGCGGCACCCGCTTAGCCTGGTCCACCACGGCACCCGCTTAGCCTGGTCCACCACAGCACCCGCTTAGCCTGGTCCACCACAGCACTGCTTAGCCTGGTCCACCACGGCACCCGCTTAGCACGGTCCACCACGGCACCCGCTTAGCCTGGTCCACCACGGCACCCGCTTAGCCTGGTCCACCACGGCACCTGCTTAGCCTGGTCCACCACGGCACCCGCTTAGCCTGGTCCACCACAGCACTGCTTAGCCTGGTCCACCACAGCACTGCTTAGCCTGGTCCACCACAGCACTGCTTAGCCTGGTCCACCACAGCACTGCTTAGCCTGGTCCACCACAGCACTGCTTAGCACGGTCCACCACAGCACTGCTTAGCCTGGTCCACCACAGCACCCGCTTAGCCTGGTCCACCACGGCACCCGCTTAGCACGGTCCACCACAGCACTGCTTAGCCTGGTCCACCACGGCACCCGCTTAGCCTGGTCCACCACAGCACTGCTTAGCCTGGTCCACCACAGCACTGCTTAGCCTGGTCCACCACAGCACTGCTTAGCCTGGTCCACCACAGCACTGCTTAGCCTGGTCCACCACAGCACTGCTTAGCCTGGTCCACCACAGCACTGCTTAGCACGGTCCACCACAGCACTGCTTAGCCTGGTCCACCACAGCACTGCTTAGCACGGTCCACCACAGCACTGCTTAGCACAGTCCACCACAGCACTGCTTAGCACGCGTGTGTGGATTTCCTTCCTGCAGAAGGCCCCTGGCTTCCCGGGGTCAGACGGACCGTCCTCCCGTGAAGACGCCGGGCCTCCAGAGTCGCCCGCTCCCCCGGTCGGTCTTCAGACGTCCGCGGCCTGTGAAAGCTCGGGGGACGCGGCCCGCCCGCTCTCACCGCGGCGGCTCCGAGGGGAGGCCGAGGGTGGGCCGGTGTGACCCGGGCGATGCCCCAGGTGGCCATGTCAGTCCGTGTCAGCCCATGTCAGCCATGTCATTCCGTGTCAGCCGTCCCCGTGTCAGCCGTGTCAGTCTGTCAGCCGTGTCAGCAGTGTCAGCCCGTGTCAGCCGTGTCAGTCCGTGTCAGTCCATGTCAGCAGTGTCAGCCGTGTCAGCCGTGTCAGTCCGTGTCAGCCATGTTAGTCCGTGTCAGTCCATGTCAGCCGTGTCAGTCCGTGTCAGCCGTGTCAGTCCGTGTCAGCCGTGTCAGTCCATGTCAGCCGTGTCAGCCGTGTCAGCCCGTGTCAGCCGTGTCAGTCCGTGTCAGCCGTGTCAGTCCGTGTCAGCCGTGTCAGCCATGTCAGCCGTGTCAGTCCGTGTCAGCCGTGTCAGTCCGTGTCAGCCGTGTCAGTCCGTGTCAGCCGTGTCAGCCATGTCAGCCGTGTCAGTCCGTGTCAGCCATGTCAGTCCGTGTCAGCCGTGTCAGTCCGTGTCAGCCGTGTCAGCCCGTGTCAGCCGTGTCAGTCCGTGTCAGCCGTGTCAGCCGTGTCAGTCCGTGTCAGCCGTGTCAGTCCGTGTCAGCCGTGTCAGTCCGTGTCAGCCGTGTCAGTCTGTGTCAGCCGTGTTGGCGCGCGTCCCGCAGGAGGCTCGCGTCCAGGGCGGCTGTGCAAACACAAGAGCCCTCCTCCTCTCCCCCAGGGCAGCGAGCAGCCAGCCAAGTCACCCCTCCCTGCCGGGCCAGGCCGCGCAGCCGCAGAGCCCGCCCAGAGACAGCGCAGAGCCCGCCCAGAGACAGCCGCACGGCCCCGCCCAGAGACAGCCGCACGGCCCCGCCCAGAGACAGCCGCAGAGCCCCGCCCAGAGACAGCCGCAGAGCCCGCCCAGAGACAGCCGCAGAGCCCCGCCCAGAGACAGCCGCACGGCCCCGCCCAGAGACAGCCGCAGAGCCCGCCCAGAGACAGCCGCACGGCCCCGCCCAGAGACAGCCGCAGAGCCCGCCCAGAGACAGCCGCAGAGCCCCGCCCAGAGACAGCCGCAGAGCCCCGCCCAGAGACAGCCGCAGAGCCCCGCCCAGAGACAGCCGCACGGCCCCGCCCAGAGACAGCCGCAGAGCCCCGCCCAGAGACAGCCGCAGAGCCCCGCCCAGAGACAGCCGCACGGCCCCGCCCAGAGACAGCCGCAGAGCCCCGCCCAGAGACAGCCGCAGAGCCCGCCCAGAGACAGCCGCACGGCCCCGCCCAGAGACAGCCGCACGGCCCCGCCCAGAGACAGCCGCACGGCCCCGCCCAGAGACAGCCGCAGAGCCCCGCCCAGAGACAGCCGCAGAGCCCGCCCAGAGACAGCCGCAGAGCCCGCCCAGAGACAGCCGCAGAGCCCCGCCCAGAGACAGCCGCAGAGCCCCGCCCAGAGACAGCCGCAGAGCCCCGCCCAGAGACAGCCGCACGGCCCCGCCCAGAGACAGCCGCAGAGCCCCGCCCAGAGACAGCCGCAGAGCCCCGCCCAGAGACAACCGCAGAGCCCCGCCCAGAGACAGCCGCACGGCCCCGCCCAGAGACAGCCGCAGAGCCCCGCCCAGAGACAGCGCAGAGCCCCGCCCAGAGACAGCCGCAGAGCCCGCCCAGAGACAGCCGCACGGCCCCGCCCAGAGACAGCCGCACGGCCCCGCCCAGAGACAGCCGCAGAGCCCCGCCCAGAGACAGCCGCAGAGCCCGCCCAGAGACAGCCGCACGGCCCCGCCCAGAGACAGCCGCACGGCCCCGCCCAGAGACAGCCGCAGAGCCCCGCCCAGAGACAGCCGCAGAGCCCCGCCCAGAGACAGCCGCACGGCCCCGCCCAGAGACAGCCGCAGAGCCCCGCCCAGAGACAGCCGCACGGCCCCGCCCAGAGACAGCCGCAGAGCCCCGCCCAGAGACAGCCGCAGAGCCCCGCCCAGAGACAGCCGCACGGCCCCGCCCAGAGACAGCCGCACGGCCCCGCCCAGAGACAGCCGCACGGCCCCGCCCAGAGACAGCCGCAGAGCCCGCCCAGAGACAGCCGCACGGCCCCGCCCAGAGACAGCCGCAGAGCCCCTCCCAGAGACAGCCGCAGAGCCCGCCCAGAGACAGCCGCAGAGCCCCGCCCAGAGACAGCCGCAGAGCCCGCCCAGAGACAGCCGCAGAGCCCGCCCAGAGACAGCCGCACGGCCCCGCCCAGAGACAGCCGCACGGCCCCGCCCAGAGACAGCCGCAGAGCCCCGCCCAGAGACAGCCGCACGGCCCCGCCCAGAGACAGCCGCACGGCCCCGCCCAGAGACAGCCGCACGGCCCCGCCCAGAGACAGCCGCAGAGCCCGCCCAGAGACAGCCGCACGGCCCCGCCCAGAGACAGCCGCAGAGCCCCGCCCAGAGACAGCCGCACGGCCCCGCCCAGAGACAGCCGCACGGCCCCGCCCAGAGACAGCCGCAGAGCCCCGCCCAGAGACAGCCGCAGAGCCCGCCCAGAGACAGCCGCAGAGCCCCGCCCAGAGACAGCCGCACGGCCCCGCCCAGAGACAGCCGCAGAGCCCGCCCAGAGACAGCCGCAGAGCCCGCCCAGAGACAGCCGCAGAGCCCCGCCCAGAGACAGCCGCACGGCCCCGCCCAGAGACAGCCGCAGAGCCCGCCCAGAGACAGCCGCACGGCCCCGCCCAGAGACAGCCGCAGAGCCCGCCCAGAGACAGCCGCAGAGCCCGCCCAGAGACAGCCGCACGGCCCCGCCCAGAGACAGCCGCAGAGCCCCGCCCAGAGACAGCCGCAGAGCCCCGCCCAGAGACAGCCGCAGAGCCCCGCCCAGAGACAGCCGCAGAGCCCCGCCCAGAGACAGCCGCAGAGCCCGCCCAGAGACAGCCGCAGAGCCCCGCCCAGAGACAGCCGCACGGCCCCGCCCAGAGACAGCCGCAGAGCCCGCCCAGAGACAGCCGCACGGCCCCGCCCAGAGACAGCCGCAGAGCCCGCCCAGAGACAGCCGCAGAGCCCGCCCAGAGACAGCCGCACGGCCCCGCCCATAGACAGCCGCAGAGCCCCGCCCAGAGACAGCCGCAGAGCCGGCCCAGAGACAACCGCAGAGCCCCGCCCAGAGATAGCCGCAGAGCCCGCCCAGAGACAGCCGCAGAGCCCCGCCCAGAGACAGCCGCACGGCCCCGCCCAGAGACAGCCGCAGAGCCCCGCCCAGAGACAGCCGCAGAGCCCCGCCCAGAGACAGCCGCACGGCTCCGCCCAGAGACAGCCGCAGAGCCCCGCCCAGAGACAGCCGCACGGCCCCGCCCAGAGACAGCCGCAGAGCCCCGCCCAGAGACAGCCGCAGAGCCCCTCCCAGAGACAGCCGCAGAGCCCCGCCCAGAGACAGCCGCAGAGCCCCGCCCAGAGACAGCCGCAGAGCCCGCCCAGAGACAGCCGCAGAGCCCCGCCCAGAGACAGCCGCAGAGCCCGCCCAGAGACAGCCGCACGGCCCCGCCCAGAGACAGCCGCAGAGCCCCGCCCAGAGACAGCCGCAGAGCCCCGCCCAGAGACAGCCGCAGAGCTGGCCTCGCCTCGCGTCAGCCCGGAGCCGAGCCCGACCCGCGGTGTGGAGGCGGCCGCTCGGCCCTCGGCTACTCCGGCCTGCGGAGGGCTCCGCAGGGCGCAGGCGCCCGGGGGAGGCCGCTGAGCATGCCGGGTAGCGGCTCGCGGCCCCGCCTGCCGGTTGCTGGGAGCCGGGGACGCCCGCCCGCAGGAGCGGCCTTGGCCGGCCGGGGCTGGCGGGGCGAGCGGGCGGGCCCGGCGTCGGCCCGGACCGGGGAGACCGCGGCCGCCGGGGCCTTCGAGGAGCGATGGAGCCCGGGAAGGTCGGTGCGCGCGGGCAGGAGAGGGGAGGGCGCGCCCCGGGGCCGGGCAGCCAGCGCGGCCGCGGCCTGCGCTCCTCCCGCGGCGGCCGGCGGGCGGCGGCGGGACCCGGGGTCCAAGCCGCGAGGGAGTGGGCCCGGGAGCGGGGCGGGGGCGCGGGAGGGCCCCTGGGGCAGGGGGTGGGGGGGCCCCCGGGGTTGGGCTGGGGGTGGGGGGGCCCCCGGGGTTGGGCTGGGGGTGGGGGGGCCCCCGGGGTTGGGCGGGGGGTGGGGGGGTTCCCGGGGTTGGGCGAGGGGAATGGGCTGGCGGAAGGGGGGTGGGGGGTCCGCCGGGGTTGGGCGGGGGGTGGGGGGGTCCCCCGGGGTTGGGCGAGGGGAATGGGCTGGCGGGAGGGGGGTGGTCCTCCTGGGGTGGGGGCTGGGGGTTCCCGGGATTGGGCGGGGGGGGGGGGCGATGGGCTGGCGGGAGGGGGGTGGGGGGGTCCCCCGGGGTTGGGCGAGGGGAATGGGCTGGCGGAAGGGGGGTGGGGGGGTCCCCCGGGGTTGGGCGAGGGGAATGGGCTGGCGGAAGGGGGGTGGGGGGGTCCCCCGGGGTTGGGCGGGGGGAATGGGCTGGCGGGAGGGGGTGGTCCTCCTGGGGTGGGGGGTGGGGGTTCCCGGGATTGGGCGGGGGGGGGATGGGCTGGCGGGAGGGGGTGGTCCTCCTGGGGTGGGGAGTGGGGGTTCCCGGGATTGGGGGGGGACGGGCTGGCGGGAGCGGGGTGTCCCCCTGGGGCGGGTATGGGGTCTCTCCCTCCCCCCGGGGCGTTTGCTGTGAATTCTTCTCCTGAGTGCATTGGATAGGATCGGGAGTGGATCCAGTGCTCTCATCTTTAATGAGTCTGCTCCCCTTTTCAAGGATAGGTAGGAAGAAAACAGCTCTAAAAACACAGATCGTCATTTAGGCTTACAAAGAACTCTAGGATAAAATAATCTGCAAAATTTGAAGACATTTTGTCAACCACTTTGTGTGATTAGGTATCTAAGCACCGTTTTCTTTCTCTTTAGAAGGTTTAGGGTCTTCTTGGTATTTGGAATGTATATAGCAATTTATTGGAATCTTTTTCCATTCAGCCCCTTTCAGGTTTTACATACACACATATGTGTGTTTACTTTTCAGTGCTGGTGATGGAACTCTGTTTCTTGCACATACTAGGCAAATGCTACAACACTGAATTGAACCTCCAGCCAGAGATACATATTTAATGGACTTTGGTTTTTCTTTTGATGGAATCAGGGTTAGAACTCAGAGCCTCCCCCTTTCTCAGCTTACTTGCTTTGTTGGCAGTCTACCACTTCTTTTTGGTGGCTGATTATTTTGGAGATGGACAAGTGTGGATTCATCCACACTGACACTCACTCACTGACTTTGAACTATTAGCCTCTGGATCTTAGCTTCCTGAGTAGCTAGGATATAATCATGAGCACCAATGGTCAGCAGTTGAATGGACATTTTTAAAGTAGAAACTTATTAATCAGAACTTAAAAGATAAAAGTATATTTTTGTATATTTTGGTCATCCTTAGGAGATAAAGTAAATTTGTATCCTTTTTATTTTGATATGAGGTACAATGCAGTACCATTTCATGCTGTTTTTAGAAAAGCAGGTGGGCTTTCCAAAGATTGGTCTTCACTAGTCCAGTATGGGGCTCCCTTGAGGATTGCAGACTCTCCATATGAACCCTTCATCCAGGACTGCCAAGAGCCTTGACCAAACCTTAACAGAGCTGTGTCAGCCAAAGGATGAGTTCCTGGGACAACCTAGGTTTCCTTATCACTCTGGAAAAGCCCAGAGCTGTCACGTGAGGATAGGCCCTTGCCTTCCCTTCATGGAACAGCTATACCAGCAATAGGTGAATACTGTTTGGGGAGTCTTTGTAGCTCCTGCAGCTCCGGAGCCTCTCCACCAAGGGCCTGAGGGCCATTCCTTTGGCATGTGCGCTCCAGGAGTCGAGACCTCTGCCTGCATTCTCTGGAGGATAGAATCCTAACTTAGGTAATTATTAGTTAGTAGATGTTGTTGGCCTGACTGCTTTTATCCTGGCCAGCCTTTCAGATTTTCCCCTTGAGACTCCCCCATTCTCCCTTTATATATCAGTCACCGTGTACAGAAGTGTAGCTCAGCTTTTTTTTCCGCTGTCCGTGATACTGAGTATAATATGTTGTTACCAAATTAATGTCTTTATCTGATATCTCTCTTTCCCACTTCTTTTTTTTTGTCAGTTGTGGGGCTTGAACTCTGGGCCTGGGTGCTATCCCTGAGCTCTTCAGCTCAAGGCGAGTGCTCTACCACTTGAGCCATAGGTCCACTTCTAGCATTTTTTGTGTCATTTATTGGAGATAAAAGTCTCACAGGGGCTGGGAGTTTAGCTCAGCGGAAGGGCACCTGCCTGGTGCGGGCAAGGCCCTGGGTTTGGTCCTCAGCCCTTGGGAAAAAAAAGTCTCACAGACTGGGGTAGCTTTGAACCGTCATCCTCAGATCTGAGCCTCTTGAGCAGCTAGGATTACAGGTGTGAGCCAGCCACCGGTACCTGGCTTATTTATTTATTTATTTATTTTGTTAGTTGTGGGGCTTGAACTCTGGGCCTGAGCACTGTCCCTCAGCTCTTCAGCTCAAGGCTAGGATTACAGGTGTGAGCCATCGGTGCCCTGCTTTTTTTTTTTTTAAACAAGTGCACAATCCACTTTATTTACTTTTTGTTAGTTTTAAACTCTGGTGGAATACAGCTTCATATGGATTTGGTTTCCAATGGCCTTGGTGGGGAGGTTATGTCAGAATTTGGCACAAGCCATGCTGCTGTTTCCATGGGCACGAGTTACCCTGCCCAGATGGCTATGGTTTTGTTCTGTTTGCCACCAGGAGTCACTGTTGTTTTCTGCTCTGTTCACATATCATGTCTATTGCCCAAGTAGAATAATGTCTTGCCTCAAAGAAGCCAGTAAATCCAGCCAGCTCTTCAGCATCCTGTTTGTTCTCAGCAGCCTCCACAGGCTCCCAAAGGGCAACCGTCCTCCCATTTTTAGTCTAACTGTTAGCCAGGTCTGCGAAGGAATCCATCTGAGGTCTATTTCCCCTGTGTAGAACAGACTCAGTGCTATCAGACTTCCACATGGGAGAGAAAGCATGCATCTTTTATCTCAGCATAATTTTTCCATCTGTGTCTTTGCAAACAATGTCATACCGTTCTTCCTAGTGGATGAATAAAAGTTCCACTGTGTATATTACTGCATTGTCTGTTGGAGGCACACAGGCTATTTCCATATCTTGGTTAGGGCAAGAGGCGCAGTAGTATCTTATTCCGAGCTGTGGTGTGAGGACTCTTGCTGGTGTCCTTTGGAGGTAGGTGATGACATTGTGAACGCCACACCTGATGCTGGGTCCACAGGACTAGAGACCGTGCGTGCTTGGGCAAGTGATGTTGCCTGTGTGCCATCGACACAGGTCAGACGTGGCTTTGCGGCTTGTGACTGTTAGGGTTGAGACTGGAGTTATGGCAGAGGATTGGACAGGTGACACTTGGAGCCACTGCTGATCTTGTCTGATAGGGTAGTACAGTGTTGATCACAGGCCAACCCTGACAAGCGGTCAGAACAGCTGTTTGGGGCCTGTAAGTTTGTGACCAGCCTATTATCTCTTTTATTTTGCAATATTTAATAATTTTTGAAGTAGCTAGGGTAATTTAGATTGGTGAATATATTTAAAAATTCCATGTTCCTATAATCTTTTTTTTGTTGTTGTTGGTCGTAGGGCTTGAACTCTGGGCCTGGGTCAGCTCTTCAGCTGTAGACTAGAGCTCTACCACTTGAGCCTCAGCCCCACTTCTGGCTTTTTCTGCTTATGTGGTGCTGAGGAATCTAACTGAGGGCCTCATGCATGCAAGGCAAGCTCTCTACCACTGAGCCACCTTCCTAGCTCCTATGATCTTTTTATTTTGAGATATCCTCTTTCTACATAGCCTTAAACTAGAGGTCTTCCTGTCTCCGTTTCCCATATGCTGGGATTACAGGTATGTGCTGCTACACCCAGGTATAGCAGAGTCGGTTGCACAGTGGTCCTCCAGGTGCTTTCTGCCACCTTTCAGTAGATAAGCAGTTGTGTATGTTCTAGCATATCAGAAATGATTGCTGTTGATTTAGAGTGTAATAAAAAAAGCTCACTAGAGGACACCAAGTTAGATATATCTATAATTATATATATATATATATACACACACACACACACACACACATATACACACACACATATATCTTATTTTGGTTATAGGGCTTGGACTCTGGGCCTGGGCACTGTTCCTCAGCTCTTCAGCTCAAGGCTAGTGTTCTACCACTTGAGCCACAGCACCACTTCCAGTTGTTTTTTTCCCAGTCGTGGGGCTTGAACTCTGGCCTGGGCGCTGTCCCTCAGCTCTTCAGCTCAAGGCGAGTGCTCTACCACTTGAGTCACAGCGCCACTTCTGGTTTTCTGGTGGTTTATTGGAGATAAGAGTCTCATGGACTTTCCTGCCTGGGCTGGCTTTGAACCGCGATCCTCAGATCTCAGCCTCCTGAGTAGCTAGGATGACAGGCATGAGCCACCAGTGCCTGGCTAAAGTTTTATGTTTTGAACTTTAACAATTCTTTTTGCTTTTCTTTTTAGAGAAGAACTAAAGATGATACTTGGAAGGCAGAGGACCTCAGGAAACACCTTTGGGTAATGATTTTAATGACTGAAGCTGGGGCTGTGTGGGACTTGATGGCTTCCTGGGTTCATACTGCTGCATAACTTTGGTTCCATGAGGCTCATTTCAAAGGCGTTTGGACTCACAGATGATGAAGCCCTGTGTTTAAAACCCCTATGTGGGCAGGGCTCTGGCTGGGATGTGTCCTGTTGGCTGTCCAGCCTGGCCCCAGGCCAGCTCCAGCTCCTGGGCCCAGCTGTGGAGTGGGTGTTGCTGTGCCTCCAGGCGCATGGTTGGGGGCGGAAGGTTGGGGTTGAGATGAAATCCTCCCAAGAGCTTTATAAGAAAGATCCTTGCTTTGTATATTGCCAAGGGGTGGTTATGTGTCATGCACTTAAATGTAGCTCATTGTCCTTTTTGTACTACAGGCGGCCTTTAATTTTAATTTTTGTCTGCTGGTCGGCATCCCCAGCCCATCCTGGCCTCAAGTATTTATCTAGATTTGTGTTCCGGTAAACCGAACTTGTCTGATACGCATTCTAAATGTAACTGCTTCAGTACTATAAGAATACTCATTGGGCTGGGAAGGTGGCTCAGTAGTAAGTGTTTGCCTTGAATGTATGAGGCCCTGGGTTTGATTCCTTAGCACCACATAAACAGAAAAAGCTGGAAGTGGCACTGTGGCTCAAGTGGTAGAACGCTAGCTTTGAGCTGAAGAGCTGAGGGACAGCGCCCAGGCCCAGAGTTCAGGCACCACAATGGACAAAAAACCAAACCAAAACAAGACAAGAATATTCATTCACCCCTGCCCAGGTCCTGCTGGGATTAGAAAGAATTTGCAGCCAGTGTCTTTTTAAAGATCTTTCCAGTAAGTATGGATTTCTAGATAGTAAAGGGAATCGTTAGTAAAGCTTCCTGGTCAAGGAAGAGCTTCTTTCTTGTTTCAGGCTGTACAATCGGGTAGTCCAAAGGAAGATAAGAAACATAGAGACAAGAAGCTGCACAAGGATTCAGAACTGGACCTCCTCGAATACAAAGAGCACAAGTACAGGGACCCAGACCGAGATGCTCGGCACAGAGACCTCTACACCTCTAAGGAGAATCCCTACGGGGAGAGAGATCGAGAGAAGCACAGGGAAAAGAGAAAAGACACCAAAGACCGGGAGAAAGAAAAGCTGAAAGAGAAACACCGGGACCAAGACGCAGAAAGGCTTCACGGCAGGGGAAAGGACAGAGAAAAAGAGAGGGATAGAAGGCCTAGGAAAGAAGAGATCAAGCAGACTGCCGCGTACCACAACATCCTGGTCCGGGAGGCACGGGACCGGCAGTTGCTTGACAGAGCAGACAAGAAGACCCGCTCAGGTGAGTCCTCACTCACCTGAACACACTGGACTGGCTACAGAATTTTGTTAAATGTGTTTCCCGCCGGGTGCCGGTGGCACACACCTGCAATCCTAGCTGCTCAAGAGGCTGAGATCTGAGGATCATGGTTTAAAACCATGCTGGGCAGGAAAGTCTGTGAAACTTTTTTTTTTTTGTCGGTGGTGGGGCTTGAACTCTAGGCCTAGCACTCTACCTTGAGCCACAGCGCCACTTCTGGTTTTCTAGTGGTTAATTGGAGATAAGAGTCTGCCCAGTCTGGCTTTTAACTGTGATCCTCAGATCTCAGCATCCTGAGTAGCTGGGATTACAAGCATGAACCACTGATGCCCGGCATCAGAAATTACCAGAAAACCAGAAGTGGCGCTGTGGCTCAAGTGGCAAAGTGCTTGGCTTGAGCTGAAGAGCTCAGGGACAGTGCCCAGGCACAGAGTTCAAGCCCCATAACTGACCAAAAAAAAAAAAATATATGTGTTTCTTTTAGATATTCTTATTATTCAGGGCATTTGGCATCATTTTATTTTCTCCTATTTATTTATGAAGGCTTTGGCTTTGTAGGTGCAGGCCCCTATTTCTCTCTCTCTCTCTTTCTCTCTCTCTCTTTCTCTCCCCCTCTTCTCTCCCTTCCCTCCTCCCATTTCTCTTTCCCTTTCCTCTCTCTCTCTCCTCCTTTTTCCTCTCTTCTCTCTTCCCTCCAATGTGTATGTTATACCGAATTTTATATATACATATACATACATACATACATATATATATGTATATATATATGTATATATATATATATATATACACATTTTAATTTAAAAAATTTTTTTTTTTTGGGTCCAGTCATGGGGCCTGAACTCTGGGCCTGGGCGCTATCCCTCAGCTCTTCAGCTCAAGGCTAGCGCTCTACCACTTGAGCCATAGCGCCACTTCTGGCTTTTTTTTTCTTTTTGCTTATGTGGTGCTGAGGAATCAAACCCAGGGCCTCATGCATGCCAGGCAAGTGCTCTACCACTGAGCCACCTTCCCAGCCCCTAATTTTTTAAATTTTTTGTTAACTATGGGGCTTGAACTCAGGGCCTGAGCACTGTCCCTGAGTTTTTGTGGTCAAGGCTAGTTCTCTACCACTTGAGTCACAGCTCTACTTCTGGTTTTCTGGTGGTTAATTGGACATAAGAGTTTGACAGACTTTCCTGCCAGGGCTGGCTTTGAACCATGATCCTTAAATTTCAGCCTCCTAAATAGCTAGAATTACAAGTGTGAGCCACCAGTGCCAGGTTATATTCTTTTTCCTTTTTTTTTCTGGTCGGTCATGGGGCTTGAACTCTGGGCTTGGGCACTGTCCCTCAGCTCTTCAGCTCAAGGCGAGCGCTCTACTGCTTGAGCCACAGCGCCACTTCCGGCTTTTTTCTTACGTGGTGCTGAGGAATCGAACCCAGGGCCTCCGGCATGCAAGGCCAACGCTCTACCTTCCCAGCCCTCCTGTTTATTTCTAATAACATCTTTTTTGTTTGTGCTTCCTGCTCTTATTTTTTCAGCACAGTATTTAAGATGTGATGGAAAGGCCAGCTATACAGTTAGACTCTGAAGTTTTTTCTGTCATCATCCATAGATCTGTTTCCTCATACTTCTCCATTTGTCAAGGACCTACCTTTCCTGCTCATTGCATCTAGTCTCACAGTCTAAATGACACTTATCCATTAGCTTTCTCAGACTCAGTGCCCAGCTGGGCCTCGCCTCTGAATCACAGGCTGTCCACCCTCTGAGGTCTGCTAGATAGCATAGATTCTCCCTGCTTCCCCCTGCCAGTGGCTTCTCTCGAGATTTTGGGCAACATGCTCACTTTGCCCCGTAACTGGTGCTTCAGCCTCCCCTCGTGGTGGGCCCCTTCCATGTTTGGAGCCCTCCTCTTGCCTGTTTCCCCAGTAGGCGTATTAGGAGGCTGTGGGGGTGTTGCTGAGAAGGAGTTTCTTTTGGGCTTCATACTTGATTAAAAATTTGGCCAACAGGGCTGATCTTTCTTAGACAGCTCTGCTGGCCATGCAGCTCTGTTTCTGGGCACAGAAGTCCTAAAGATGTTTGTGCGGGTGTTGGTGCCCCTTTTGACTACCATGGGTATGACTTACACATTTGCCAGCTTGCTTCAGCAAGAAGAAGGGAAAAAAAAATTCATAACTGTTTCTTAGATTGCCATATTAAGCGCCTATTTTATTCTGTTTGAAGTTTACACACTAGAACTTGTCACACTTTTGTGCCAGTTCTGGGACTCAAACTCAGGGCCCTGGCACTGTCTCTGAGCTTTTTTGTTTCAAGGCTAGCACACTATCACTTCAGCTACAGCACAAGTTCTGGCCTTTTCTGGGAAGTTTATTGAAGACCAGAGTCTCGGGGAACTTTCCTGTCAGGCTGGCTTTGAACTCTGATCTTCAGATCTCAGCTTCCTAAGTAGCTAAAATTACAGGTGTGAGCCACTAGTGCCTGGCAGACCTGTCACTCTTGTGTTTGGAAATGTGTTTTGTTGAAGACTACCTTAAAATATTTGTTAACAGATTTGTAGTAACATCAGCAAGCTGTTAGACAATCCTTTATAAGCTAAAATTTGGGAGAGTTAAAAATACGTTCAATTTTTTTGCTTTTTTAGGTAGTAAAGTACGAATTGAAGAAAAAGAAAGGAGAGATGAGGATTCTGAGAGGGTCGATGAAGATAGAGAAAGAAGATACCGGGAGAGAAAGGTAGCCGGGTGGCCCACAGAAGGGCTTTCTACCTGTCTACACAGGCCTGGGGGGGTTACCGGGGAAGTAAGTGGGAAGGAGTCAAGCCCCAAGGCTAATCAGTCTCTTCTCTTGAGGTCTCGTGGTTTTTCTGATTCTAAGACTAACTCTTGCTTAATTTAGCAAGTTTGGAAGACACAGATAATAATAAAACTAAAACTATTCCCCACTTAGAGATTATTGATAATATTTAAGCATATATATCCTACCCCATTTATATATATATATGTATGTATACATGTATATACACACATATATATAGTATGTGTATAGGTATGTATGAATGTGTTTATGTAATTTCCTTGAATTTGTTTTTTGTTGCTTTTTTTAGTTTTGGTGTTGTGGTTTTTTTATTGTCGAGGTGATATACAGAGAGGTTACAGTTACATAAGTAAATTAATAAGTACATTTCTTTTTTTTTTTTTGGGTCTGGTCGTGGGGCCTGAACTCTACCACTTGAGCCACAGCACCACTTCTGGCTTTTTTCTTTTTTGCTTATGTGGTGCTGGGGAATCAAACCCAGGGCCTCAGGCATGCAAGGCAAGCGCTCTACCACTGAGCCACCTTCCCAGCCCCAATAAGTACATTTCTTGTCAAACTTCTTACCCCTTCCCTCATTTTTCTCATACTTTCCCTTCCCCTACCCCCAAGTTGTACAGATCATTTCCAGCATTTTGTCTTGTGAATATTGCTGTTGAAATGGTCCCTCCCTCTTGTCTTCTATCTCACTCTGTTGTTCCCTTTCCCTTCCCTAATTCAGATATACACTCACACACACAGACACACACACACACGATACCCGCATACCAAAATCAAGTCCAGTGACAACAAGGGATATACCATAGGGGGAAGAACATATAATAGAAACAAGAAGTTGCATAGTACATTAAAGACAACAGCATTTCGTTGATTTATACTAGTTTAAACTTAATACATCTTGAGTATTTTCCTGAGTTAGGATATTTTTTGTAGTATTTGAGTGAATTGTAATTAATATTTAGTAATATGGATTACTTGTCCTATCTGCAGTTGTTGGACACTTAGATTGCTTGATTTTTTTTTTTAAGTATAAAGACATCCATTGTGTGAGCTTTCTATATTTATTTCTAATTATTTATGGTTAATTTCTGGAAATGAATGGATTAGATAAAAAATATAAACCTAACCCACTGTTTTTACATAAGAATTATATAGTTATTCATAACATCACAGTATAATTTACCATATTCTGGACAGGTAACTATTATTTTTAATATTGCTAATTTGATCCACAAGACAATTAAATTTTTGAAAGTTTTTTTTTTTTTTTTTGTCAGTCATGGGCCTTGAACTCTGGGCCTGGGTGCTGTCCCTCAGCTCTTCAGCTCAAAGCTAGCGCTCTACCGCTTGAGCTACAGCTCCACTTCGGTTTTATAGTGGTTTATTGGAGATAAGAGTTTCACAGACTTTCCTGCCTGGGCTGGCTTTGAACCACGATCCTCAGATCTCAACATCCTGTGTAGCTAGGATTACAGGCGTGAGCCACTGGCGCCCAGCTGAAAGTTTTTTTTAAACGTAGTTTATATTAACATATCATAAGTGTTCATATTTTAGGGTGCAGTGTTACTTTTTTGTATGTGTGAGTGTGCTAGTTGTGGGGCTTTAATTCAGGGCCTGTGCTCTGTCCCTGAGCTTTTGTTCCTCAAGGCTAGTGATCTACCACTTGAGCCACAGACCCAGTTTTGCCTCTGTGTGTGTGTGTGTGTGTGTGTGTGTGTGTGTGTGTGTGTGTGTGTGTGTGATTAATTAATCTTATAGACTTTCCTGCCTGAGCTGGCTTTGAACTGCAGTCCTCGCATCTTTAGCTTCCTGAGTAGCTAAGGTTATAGGCACTAACCAGTGGTGCCCAGAGCAGTGTTTCTTTTTAATACCTGTGCCATGTGTAATGACTGCAACATTGTAACAGGTGACTGACAAATCCAACATCTCAGACTGTTTTGCATTTCTTTGTTTTAGGAACATTGAAATCTTCCCTGCTAGCTTTTTTTCCCCTTTTTCCTTCTTAAAATTGTGATTAAGAAGTTGTACAAGTGATTTTAATTCCGTAAATCAGGTTATGAGTACTATTAGTCTTGGTCATTATCACCCCTGCCATTATCTCCTCCATTTCCCCGTCCCATGCCGACTCCCTCAAGCTACATAGTTAGGCTTTACAGAATGTACATCAAATATGATAGCTCCCTCCTTCCTTCCGGCCCCTCTGACTGCCCTCTCCTGAAAGCCTGTTTCTACTACTGAGCTTAAAGCCCTGTGTATGTTATGTGTGTCTGGCTTCCACATATGAGAGAAAACACGTGCTGTTTGTCTCTCTGAGCCTGACTTCACATAACATAATTCTAGGCCCATCCATTTCCCTGCAAATGATAGAATATTATTCTTTCTAATGGATGAGTAAAATTCTTTCATTGTGTATATGTACCACGTTTTTCTTTTTCTTTCTTTTTTTTTTTTTTTGGGTCTGGTAGTGGAGCCTGAACTCTGGACACAGCTCAAGGCTAGCGCTCTACCACTTGAGCCACAGTGCCACTTCCGACTTTTATCTTTTTGCTTATGTGGCTGAGGGATCGAACCCAGGGCCTCATGCATGCAAGGCAAGCGCTCTACCACTGAGCCACCTTCGCAGCCCCCCACATTTTTCTTGATCTACTCCTTCCCCCTTTTCAGACTATTTAGTGGGTTTCATTATGCTGTCTTCCTCTACCTACATACCGTGTCACCCTCTGTATCCTTCCCCTCCCCCTTCATCCCAACTCTGGTCCCCCCAAAGTCTTCCTCCTTGTGCTCATATCCTATTATACTGTAGTTTCTACACATGAGTGAAAACATACACTGTTTGGGTCTTTGAACTTGGCTTCTCTTGGTCAACATGATTGTTTCCGGTTGCATTTATTTTTGTGCAGAGGGGGTAATTTCTTTCTTTTTTTTGGGGAGGGGGGTCCAGTTGGGGGGGCCTGAACTCTGGGCCTGGGCACTGTCCCTCAGCTCTGCAGCTCAAGGCTAGCACTCTACCACTTGAGCCACAGTGCCACTTCCAGCTTTTTTCTTTTTACTTATGTGGTGCTGAGGGATCGAACCCAGGGCCTCATGCATGCAAGGCAAGCGCTCTACCACTGAGCCACCTTCCCAGCCCCAAGGGGTAATTTCTTTTTTATGGCTATACTCTGTTATGCATTTACTGGATTTTCTTTATTCATTCTTGGCTGATTGGCACTTAGGCTGGTTTCCCAGCTGGGCTGTTGTCAATAGTGCTGTGATTGTGTTGATTCACACTCCTTAGAGGGTATAGCAGGATCATAGAAGGTCCAGTTCTAGTTTTTTACTGATTTCCAGGTTGCATTAGTTTATATTCCCATCAGCAGGTAACAAGGGTTTCTTCCTCACACAGTACATTCTCACCAGCTCTTGGTGGTTTTCTTTCTTTCTTTTGTTCATTCGTTCTTTCTTTTTGCCAGTCCTGGGGCTTGAACTCAGGGCCTGAGTGCTGTCCCTGAAATTCAAATTTTGCTCAAGGCTAGCACTATCACTTGAGCCACAGTGCCACTTCTGGCTTTTTCTGTATATGTGGTACTGAGGAATCGAACCCAGGGCTTCATGCCTGCTAGGTAGGCACTCTACTACTGAGCCACATTCCCAACCTGGATTGTTTGTTTCTTTTTCTTTTCTTTTTTTGTTTGGTCTGGTCCTGGGCACTGTCCCTCAGCTCTTCAGCTCAAGGCGAGCGCTCTACCACTTGAGCCACCACTTCCGGTTTTCTGGAGATAAGAGTCTCATGGACTTTTCTGCCCGGGCTGGCTTTGAACCGTGATCCTCAGATCTCAGCCTCCTCAGTAGCTAGGATTACAGGTGTGAGCCACTGATGCCCGGCTGTCTTACTTTTTTAAGCCTACTTTAAAAGGCTATCTCTGCTAGTCATTTATGTTGTTGTTTTGTTTTGAATTTGACTTGTGGGTTATTTACATATGTATATGTGTATGTCTGTTATGTTTGCAGTACTTGGGATTGAATTCAAGACCCTGAGTTTGTCTGGTTCTATCCCAGTGGAGCTACTCTTCCAGAGCCCTTTTGTCTTAAGCATGTGCCGGTGGCTCATGCCTGTAATCCTAGCTACTCAGGAGGCTAAGATCTGAGGATCATGGTTCAAAACCAGCCTGGGCAGGAAAGTTTGTGAGACTCTTATCTCTAATAAACCACTAGAAAACCAGAAGTGGCACTGTGGCTCAAGTGGTAGAGCGCTTGCCTTGAGCTGAAGAGTACAGAGACAGCGCCCAGGCCCAGAGTTCAGGCCCCAGGACCAACAACAACAACAAAAAAAGATAGAGGGGTGCTTTGTGCCCGGGTTGGTGTGGGTTGTAGCTCCCTGTCTGTGATTCCCCTTGTCTCTGGGGTGACAAGCCAGTGGTGCTTTGGTGCTTTGTGGGTTGTAGCTCCCTGTCTGTGTTTCCCCTTGTCTCTGGGGTGACAAGCCAGTGGTGCTCTGTGCCCGGGTTGGTGTGGGTTGTAGCTCCCTGTCTGTGTTCCCCCTTGTCTCTGGGGTGACAAACCAGTGGTGAGGCACCCAGCAGCGTGCCTCTCCTCTTGCTGGGTGGCAGGTACCACGAGTAAGATGTAGTCTTCTGACCTTCTGTGACCAGGCTGGCTGTAAGTTTTGATCCCGGGATCTCTGCCACACATGTAGTTAGGATTATAAACTTGAGCTATTGGGCCCAGCGTGTAAACTCCGAAGTGAACAAGTCTGTCGTTTTGTTGATGAAATGCTTGGTGAGCCCTTTTCCCACTCTAGAGTTATGTAAGTAGTTGTCTGCTTTTTGTTCTGGATCTTTAACTTTGTTTTTAGACTTAAGTCTTTAATTCCCATGAGGTTCCTTTGGCAGTTTCTCAGCTTTATAGTTATACTTGGTCAGGTAATGGAGGAGGCTGCCGGGATGCCAGGGGAAGTGAAGGGACCACGGAGAGCACGGGCAGAGACCCTGGCCTGGATGAGCGGAGGGGACCTGGTGGGAAAGGCTGGGGTGAGGTGTGCCTCAGGGCTCTCTGGCGTCTGTCAGCACTGAGCGCTGGCTGGAGCATTCCTTGTACAATTGTTGGACAACTTAAGTTGATGTCACCAGTTATGTACTGAGTCTCTGCAATGTTTGGGGGTTATATAGATAACTAATGAGGGGTGGTCCTCATTTTCAAGACTCCCATCTAGATGGGATAGTGAAGTAGGTGGTTCAGTGTCATTACAAAAACTGTGGCATTTGGCAAAGTGACCATTTGCCTAGAGAAGTTACGAAGACTTCATGCAGGGTGCAGGGTGGCGGAGGACCAACAGGGGCCCTCCAGGGACTTGGAGCATCCAAATCATCCTGCTGGGAAAGCTGGACCCTGTGAGCAGGGCAGAGGGAGCGCACTGGGCTTCGACATCTCTGTGGTGCTGGAGGTGGGTGGCCAGCAGCATCTGGGAGTGGAACAGTGGTGTGAAAGGGACAGTGGTAGTTCAAGGATTGTTCCTGGTGGTCTCTTACCGAAACACGTAGAAGGCCGAGGATGTGTTTTTATTTGCTCACACACTTCTCTCTGTTGTCCCTCAGCTGCAGTATGGTGACAATAAAGACAACCCTCTCAAGTTCTGGCTTTATAAAGAAGAAGATGAGAGAAAACATAGAAAGCCTAGAGAAGTAGATAGAGAAAAGAAACACCAAGAAAAAGGCAGCACAAGAGAGAAGAGAGAAAAACATTCGAAAGAAAAGGGGAACTTTCTCACTGACAAGGAAGGGGAAGAGAGACACAGAGAAAAACGGCATAGGGACCTTGATGATGAGAGGCACCGAAACCACACTGAGAGGAAAGAGAGACTGTCCAAGGAAGAGCATAAGAAGAAGGAGCCCAAGGTATCTCCTTAGAAACCTCATTTAAAATTGATCTTTTATTATCTCTAAGTAGTTGACTGTACAGGGAGTTGCCATGGAAAAAAGCCGTTTATGAATGCACTACCTCAGTATCGCCCCTCCCAGTGTTCTCACCCGTTCCCTACCCTTCTTAATTCTGTGGGATATACGTTGGACTCTTGGTGGTGTCTCCCCATCTTCTCCTCTTCATTTGTCCACCCCTTTCCCTTTGACTCGGTCAGTCAAAGTACCTGCTTCCTCGTGTTTCATTTCATTTTATTTTAAAATACAGTTTTGTCGTTATTATTAAGGTGCTATGCAGAAGGATTACCATTTTGTAAGTGTGGTAATGAGTGCATTCCTGTTTTTGGACAATCTTCTTCTCTTGCTTTCCCTAGTTTCCCCCTCGCTTCCCTGCCCACAAGGTACATAGGTCACGCTCCACAGTGTCTACTGAATACTATGATTGCATCAGTTCACACTTCCCCCTCCTTCTCCGCACCCCTGGTGTTTTATTTTGCTGAACTTTGCCTTTTTTGAAGAATATACTGTTTGGTTTATATACTACCCAAGGTATTTACGTATAGATTAAGCTAAGTCTAGCTTCTACATACATGGAAAAATGTGTTTTCTTTGTTACTGGTATAGTCATTGGGAGACCAACGATCACCGAGAAAAAGTTGTATTTAAATGTAGTCAGACTGCAGTGTACCAGTGGCTCATATGCATGATCTTAGCTACTTAGGAGGCTGACATCTGAGGATTGTGGTTCAGAGCTAATGTGGGATTGCTAAGTATCTCAAGTTAACAAGCAAAAAGCCAGAAAGTGGACGTGTGGCTCAAGTAGTAGTGTTGGTCTTGAGCAAAAAAGCTAAGGGACAGCACCCAGGACCCAAGTTCATGCCCCAGAACTGGCAATAAATAAATAAGTAGACAAATAACTTGGCTAGATAAAGTTAAGGTTCATTGCTTAGTAGTTGCTAAGTTTTTATTTCGGTGTCAAAAGATGTGACGTAAACAACTGAAGGGAGGGATGATTTATTTTTGGCTTGTGGCTTTAGAGGTTTCAACCATTGTGTTGGAGTGGCAGAGCTGTTCACCGCAGGGTAGCCAGGACACAGGAGGCGTGGGGGAGCGGAGAGACAGGCGGGAAAGAAGAAATGGTTTCAGAGTGAGAGAATCAGAGCGTGTCCCTACACTGTGGGCTTTCCCCCTTCCCCTTTTGTATATGGGATGGTGCAGCCCCATTCAGGGGACGTCTGCCCCCTATCTGACCCTCCCTGGAAACACTCTACAGACACCTTCAGTGATCTCCTTCAAACCATGCTGACATTCCGGATTAACTCGCAAGTACTCATCTTGGTACAAATGTGATTCAGGTCTGTTTTGTGATCAGAGGCGGAGATTATTTATCTTCTAAGGAATATGGATCCATATCTTTGATTTGGTCATAAGCATACTTTCATTTTTCAAGACAGGGTTTTACTGTGTTGCTCCGACTTGAGCTTTGAGCTGCTCCTCATCTGGGGCAGTCCTCCTACTCAGTCTCCTGAGGCACTGGCCCTCAGCTGTACGGACCGCACACCCTGGTGTAAATGAACTTTGACATGAAGAAGCTAATGTTTTTAAAGTGAGAATTAAGTGAATAACTTATAAAACAGTTATAGACAGAATTGGTATACGTTTACTAAAAACCCAGAACCAGAATAAGAGTGTATTACTGTCGATGGCAAAGGATCTGATTTCCTTTTTTGTATGTTGAGTTTATCCCTGTAATTGCTTAATATTTTCTAGACTCACTTTAGTGACTTGTTTTCACGTGCACTCTGGCTGTTTTTACATAGTCTGGAGCTATGGTGACTTCATTGTTTTGCTTCCTGGCATGTAATCTCAGGGTGATGTCCCAGGCTGGGGGAGATAAAATATGCAGACACAGGATAGAGATTTCATGGCCAGTGTCCATGAAAGCATAGGGTCCAAAAAACAGCATTAAAAGCAGGAGCAATTAAGCCCAGAAACACCTGTGGTAGGGGCAGGTCGTGCCTGGTGCTATGACCTTGGTGTGCCCTTGGCAGTGATGCATGGTGAGTCATAGTCAGCCCTCCGTCTTGATTGCCTTTCCCTACAGCTGTGCTGAAGCCCCACTGTCACCTCCTTGTGGGTCAGGGTGCTGGGTGCATGGCTTAGCAGTTGGGAGACCGTGCCAGTCTTGCCCGTGTGGGACAGGCAGCAGGGACGTACCCTGTACTCTGCCGCCTGGGGCCTTGACTGTGGAAAGCCTCTGTGAGACTGCCTCGGGGGGTTCCTGGACCCAGGTATGCATTCTGCTTGGTCTAAAATTTTCTTTCTGTAGACAAACACTTCCTATTTTTCCTCCCAGCTTCCCCTCCCCCCCCAGTCGTGGAGCCTGAACTCTGGGCCTGGGCGTTGTCCTTCAGCTCAAGGCTAGCACTCTACCACTTGAGCCACAGCCCCACTTCCGTCTTTTTTCTTTTTACTTATGTGGTGCTGAGGAATCGAACCCAGGGCCTCAGGCATTCATGGCAAGCGCTCTACCACTGAGCCACCTTCCCAGCTCCCCTCCCAGCATTTTTATTTGATTATTTTCAGACATACAGCGAACTATATTGAACACCCCGTTCCTGTTCCTGTCGCTAGATCTCATTGACCATGCTTGTTCCATGCATAGGTCATGTCTGGTTACTAGAAACACATGCTTGAGTTGCATCTGTTTAGTTCTGCCCTGCAAATGCCTTTCTGACACATCTTAATACATACATTCGGCTTTTACTCTTAAGGGTGAATGAAAAAAAAATTAGTGAAGAACATGCATCGTTATTAAGCTACTATCCTCAAAGTTTGTCCCAGAAGAATTCTCTCCGTGCTTGATAAAGTCCTCCTCTTTCTTGGAGTCACTGGGGCTTGAACTCAGAGCTCTGCACCACTAGGCAAATGTCTTCTCTTTTGCTTTATTTTCAGACAGGTTCTACGTCTACGCCTGGCAAGCCTGGGCCACACACTTCCTTTTTGTGCGGTGACACTGGTCACACTCCACTCCCAGCTTCTATTTGTTGGGGTGAATTGTCTCCAAGTGGGCTCTCCCAGTCTCTGCCGCTGGGTAGCTAGGATTATAGGTGTGAGCCACCATGTCTGGCACAAACTTTCCCATTGAAACAACTTGACTGTTGTAGGTGCCAAGGATATGATATCAAACAGGTTCCCAGTATGACATTAGGAATGATTCCCCACCCCTTTGGTGCTGGGGCTGTGGCTTGAACGCCAACCCTCATACTCTTCTTAGCTTATTTGCTCATAGCTGGTGCTCTACTGCTGGCTCTACACCTCTACTTTTTGCTGGTTAATTGGAGATAAAATGTTTTGGATTTGTCTGCCTGGCTTCCAACCTTGATTCTCAGATTTCAGCTTATGGAGTAGCTAGGGTTACAGGTATGAGCCTGGCTAGGAATGACTTTTTTTTTTTTTCCAGTTTTTTTTTTTTTTAATTGTAAAGCTACTATACAGAGGGTAACAGTTACATGAGTGAGGTTATGAGTACACTTCCTCTTGAACATTGTTACCCCCTCCATTGTTTTCCCCCTACCATCCCCTCCCTCCCTCCCTTCCCTGAGGTTCTTTTTTTTTTTTTTTGATTGTGATTAAATGATTACATAATTTCAAAGTCACAAGTTCATTCTAACTTCCCTGGAGCAAATTGTCTACCACAGTCTGTAATATATAACAGTGTTCACATGTTATATACCATATTTGTGATCAGCAGCATGGGGATATTTAGTAGTGGTTCAACCGGATGAGCGGGAGTTCTTTGTTTCTTAAGTCCTGTTAGTTTTATCGTATCACCTAACCTTTTGGATTTAGCATCCACTTATCAGGGAGACCATGTACCGTTTGTCTCTTCGTTCTTGGCTTACCTCGCTCAACATGATTCCTTCTAGCTCCATCCATTTCCCTGCAAATGCCATTATTTTGTCATTTCTAATGGCTGCATAATATTCCATTGTGTATAGATATCACAATTTTTGGATCCATTCATCTGTGGTGGGGCATCTAGGTTGTTTCCATATCCTGGCTATTGCGAACAGTGCTGCAATAAACATGGAGGTGCACGTGTCCTTGTATATTGGTTCCTGTTGTTCAGGGTAGATGCCTAGAAGTGGTATGACTGGGTCGTAAGGGAGGTCAATCTTTAGCTTTCTAAGGACCCTCCAGACTGCTTTCCAAAGTGGTTGTATAAGTGTACGTTCCCACCAGCAGTGTAACAGGGTTCCTCTTTCTCCACATCCCCTCCAGCATTTGTCGTTGGCTGATTTGTGGATGTGGGACATTCTGACTGGGGTAAGGTGGTATCTCAGGGTTGTCTTTATTTGCATTTCCTTCACCACCAGGGATGATGAACATTTCCTCATGTGTTTCTTTGCCATTTTTATTTCTTCATTTGAGAAGTCCCTCTTTAGTTCCCTTGCCCATTTAGTAATTGGTTTGTTAGGTTTGGGAGGGATTAGTTTCTTGAGTTCCCTGTATATACAGGATGTTAACCCCTTGTCTGATATATTGCTGGTAAATATTTTTTCCCAATTAGTTGGTTGTCTTTCTAGCTTAGTTGCGATAGATTTAGCTGTGCAGAAGCTTTTTATTTTAAGGTAGTCCCATTTGTCGAGTCTCTCTCCAACTTGTTGTGACCCTGGGACTCTGTTCAGGAAGTTCCTTCCTGTGCCTATTAGTTCAAGTGTCTCTCCTACTCTGTCCTGTAGTAGTTTCAGAGATTCAGGTTTAATGTTAAGGTCTTTAATCCATTTTGAGTTGATGTTGGTGCATGGTGATAGGCTGGGGTCCACTTTTAGTTTTCTGCATGTGGCTGCCCAGTTTTCCCAGCACCAGCGGTTGAAGAGGCTGTGTTTCTTCCATTGTATGTCTTTGGCTCCTTTGTCGAATATCAGCTGGCTGTAGGCCTGTGGATTTATATCTGGATCTTCTTTTCTGTTCCA